AATGAATTCACATACATGACTTACAGCAGCTGTCGGATTCAGCCTGAGCTCTAGAGGGCGCTGCTGCAGTCTCTGCTTCCCTGTTTTGCCAGATATAGTTATAATATTTGTAGCGTCACTGGACTTTTTAATATTAATACTGACAGCATTGATAAAGTGATTTGGGCATTAATGAAGCAGGAAGAGGAAGTTTGGTGTTAGCAATTCCGTATCCTATTCACAAAATACAATATTTGGATTTAAATGAGCGGCGAGGTGGCATGGTGGGTAGCACTGTCGCCTCACAGCAAGAAGGTCGCTGGTTTGAGCCTCGGCTGGGTCAGTTGGCATTTCTGTGTGGGGTTTGCATGTTCTCCCCATGTTTGAGTGTTTTCTGCAGGTGCTCCGGTTTACAAGTCCAAAGACATGCGCTATAGTTGAATTGGGTAGGCTAAATTGTCTATAGTGTATGTGTGTAAATAAGAGTGTATGGGTGTTTCACAGTGATGTGTTGCAGCTGAAAGGGTATCAGCTGTGTAAAACATACGCTGAATAAGTTGTTGGTTCATTTCGCTGTGGTGACCCCTGATTAATAAAGAAACCCAGCCGAAAAGAAAATAAATGAATGAATTTATTTAATAGAATATTCTTTTTGGGAAATTTGCAAGACTATCATTAGATATGTTAGACAGTAGATAGTAGTTATAGTTAGATAGCCAGTGGAAGTCAGGTTAAACTGTATAAACAATCACTAAACATTTATATAAATCATGTAGAGCATAAATGGGCTCTATGTAAAGCTAGAGTTTTATGGCCAATGACAAACATCCGGTGAAAACTTAATGTGACTATTTTTAATTTCATAAGGTTGTTTTTACAGCATTGATATTGTAATTTAATTATTATACATTCAGTTAAGCATTCATTTAGTAGTTCAAGCGTAAAACGAGATGAAAGACCATTGAACCCACTGGCGCCGTCAGTAGCAACAGGATAGCGCAGAAATTCTATTGAAAATACTAGGGTAAAATTAACTGTCATTTTTTAAAGAGCTGTTGGAGGCAATGGAATTTAATACAGTGCTTCTTGTCTGGTCTGAGACCCACTTCATATTGTATTTCTAACAGGCATTAAAGATAGAAGATTTTTTTTAAAGAAATTAGATTTTAAACGTGACAATTTTTCAATGGAAGGCCTCGGGCTGCCAGGCTGACAATTAAAAGTCTGTGTGCATGTCGTTGTCGTTGTCATACACAAATCCTAGTAAAAATTATGCCAGCAAAAATATTCATATATTGCTGCATTAAACAAAATGCATAATTCTTTCATTCATTTATACAGCATTATTTAACAACACCCAGACATCCCTCATTTTTAAATGTCATCTATGGCCATACTTTTAGTAAGTATTGTTTAATTTGTACTATAATCTGCAAGTACTTGTTGGTGTATTTTTATAGTCCAATTCATTCACAACACATATCTTGCACAAAACTTGAATATGCGTGCACACACACAAAGTCAAGCCAGACACACATGCCACACTGAAAATTTCCTCTGGCCTGTTAATGGCTTCCAGATGCTGTGTGAATGGGGCAAGAGACTGAAAGGGGGTCTGTTTGGCAGCCGCTCACTTGAGAAAGTCTTTGCTGATATCGCCTCACATCAGTCCAGCTAAAGTGACAACACACTCACATCCAAACTACACACTGAGCCATTTAACTGTTATCTAGGGAATGTGAGGTGGAATATATCATATTCATGATCTAAGGTACAGTGGAGCTCACTACTAATATAAAAACTCCTCATTATGAAGAGAGTCTGTATTGGATGATGCACTGAATGAATTGTCCTGGATGCTTATTACACCTATTTCTGTCACATAAAGACAAAGTGAGGAATTACACTGACTAATAAACAAAGAAAAGGTTTTATTTGCAGGCATGCTTAATATTTGACACACGCAGACAGATGCAGACCTCTGGGCTGGGTTTCAGGTGAACTGAGGCCAAGCAGACATACTCGGATGACAGATTTGAATCAATTTGCCAAAGCAAAGAGAGATGATGATATCACAGTGATGGACGACTGATGTTAAACTCCTTCCAGTTCTCATAACCCCCTAAAAGCATCACACATGGATTTTCCTATTACAAGAGATTTAAATTTACTTGTGATGAAAACTCTATAAATCACTGAGGCAATGAGACCTACTGTCAGTCTGGGAGATGAAATGAGAGACAAATTCACAACGCTCTTTTTGAATTCAACTTCTTTTGCTACAGGAATTGGATACAGACTGACAGACTGATTGATTGATTGATTAATTAATTGATTGATTGATTGATTGATTGATTGATTGATTGATTGATTGATTGATTGATTGATTGATTGATTGATTGATTGATTGATTGATTGATTGATTGATTGATTGATTGATTGATTGATTGATTGATTGGTTAATTTTTTAGCACAACCATGGTGCTATTCAATAATGGTCAATAATTTAAGATTATAATTTATTTATTATCTGTACATTTTATTTATCTTTATTTATAAAGAGGAGTAAAATATATTTTGGGACTCAAATGTTGGGAATGTGTTATCAAAGCTGATGGATGGCCAAGTCGAACTGAAGCAAGGATATACTGTATGTGTGCCAGCATATATTATTACACTTAGCACACTCTCAAACACCAGCAATATTATGTGACAAGCAGTTTACTAAAAAACAAAAAAAAAGGCAAAAAAAAAGGCAAACGTTTCGGTGAAGTGTTGACCATTGTCAATGTCAAACAAACATTGGTCAACATTGGGAAAAGGTCAACATTTGGCTGTAACGTTTACCTGTTGCCTTTTTCAGTAAACTGCTTGTCGCTTAATATGTCTGGTGTTCTTTTGTTGTTGAAGAGTGTGCTGACTTTTCTTTAGTCATGTCATTCTTTTGGGATTTTTTGGTTTGTGCACCTATTGGACCATTTTGAAGGTGCAGTGACACTGACTTTTGGAACAGAACAAAATACAGGAACAAACTTACCAACCTTCCTGACAATGATGAGAAATAAACAAAAGAGGCATAAATAACACACAAGACAATGAGGAAGGAAAATGATTCATTCCTAATATTTGCAGTAAGTGCAGCATAAAAAACAGTACCCACACAATGCATAACAAAAAGCCTTTAGCTTTATCAAATTCTTCAGCTTATCTGAAGTACTTTTTGATTTTCAATGAAAATCTTTTGTCAGTGCCAACAGAACGCCATATCCTTGTGTCATTGATTGCACAAAACATACTCAAAATGCTAAGTCTTGTCAGTACTGCAATCTCTCAGTATTTTTGATGTAATCTATGGTTATAACAAATTGACACATCACAGTATGTGGAACAACTGGCTTCTTCTACCTCTTCCTGTATTTTGCATCTATAAATTTATAAATATTGTCTTCTTTGCTATAGGCCTTGTTTGTTTCCTGTTTGTTCTTTCATAATCAGAAATTGCAACTATAATGTCCTGTCTATAAAGGGTTTAAATTAGGCCTGCACAATATTGGAAAAATCTAACATTGCAATGTTTTATTTTTTAATCATTCTACAATACATATTGCGATATGAATTCTATTTCACTAGATTGAATAACCATTTGGAAAGAACTGATAGTTTTAGATTGACTGGGATGATAGGGGTGCATAAAATATAATAAACAATCTACAAGCATAGATAATTTCAATAAAGAAAAAGATACAAATTAAATAAACAGCATTTTATTATCTTTATAGGAATCAAACCTTATTCAGGTATACAGTAATTAAACAACTAAATGTAAAATAATACTGCATAGTCTTCGTTATACAAACAATTCGGTATTGATTTGTCAAAGTGGTGGTTCATTCCACTATGGCGACCCCTGATTAATAAAGGGACTAAGACAAAAAGAAAATGAATGAATGAATGAACTAATGATTTAATGAATAATTTGTCAAAGTTACAATTTTATAAGACTGAAAGAGTTTAAAACCCTCACACAGTCACAGGTCTCAAAAAACACTTGCAAAATTATCAATTATAATCCAGACTCAACAGTGCATATACTCGCAATGTGAATATTGCGAATGATCACATTGCCATAACAATGCTGAAACGATATATTGTGCAGCCCTAATTTCAATTTTCATGGGATTTACCTCTGAGGTATTTTAGAGATCAGATTAATCACTGGCTTAATCAATGTTAAACAACCCCCTAAATTTGTCTAATTAAAGATTTGGGTTTGCAATTTATCAATTTATGAAATTTGAAAAAAAGAAATGTATAGAAAATAGGCTTGACAGATTAGTTTTACCATTCCATATTTAATTGTTTATGCAATGAACTAATGTCAAGGTGTTAAGGGAGTAAAAATAATCAAAAAGTATTATATATTTTGACCAATATATGTAACATTTGGTAATGTAGAATAAAGCTGACAACAATTTCATAATCAACCGTATGAATGTAAAACAGCATTTAAAGTTTGCTCAAAAGATTGAGAAAATTTACTTCTTCAATTTTACATTCAGTTATGTTTCGAGATTTTCAATTATGATCTAAGAACTGTGGCTGAGAAACTGAGAAGAAGAAAAAAAGAACGACCATATACTGAGCCAGCTTAGTTGTAAACTGTTTGCTCTGTTGTGAAATTTGAGCTCTGTAAATAAAGGTTTAATTTTAAATGTGTAAAAATATAAAATTCTGGATTCTATGGTTCTGAAAAAGCCCTTAAGGCAAACTTTACTTTCAATACTTTATCTCATCTTAACAAGTTTTTATTTCTGTAGTAGAACATAAAGATAGCAAACAAATAAGTCTTATATGGACAATACAATGGAAATCATTGATCGGAAATGTTTGGCAACCAACAATATTCTTGTATAATCATTTCCTTTTATTACTTTAACATCTTGTGACAGAATTGCCATTCTTGGGTAAACAATCCCTTTAAGATGCATGGTACTGGAAAAGACCCAAGAAGTGTTTCTTACCATTTTTGTCCTCCAGCAATGTGTTGTTGGACAGTGTAGCCAAACTGTGTCTGCCTGGGGCCCTTTATGATCCTGTGATTTCTGGTGTCAATGTTGAAACAGTCATGGAGCCCTGTAAATAGACACAGACAGTTTAAATATGAACCATCCGCTGCATGCCTGCACAGAAGATTACACTTCGTGGCAATGTCAATCGATTGTATGAGCCAAGCGGCTACATCACTGACCCAAAACTGAGCAGCAAAATTTAATTGTGGCTAAACCAGGTTTCTGACAGCGAAAAGAGTCCAAACAGCAGAGCTTCTGGACATGAACTACACTGGATTTAATATGTACTGTTTTTACATATAGCTTACACACAAACAGAGAGTAAACGAGAGACTGTTTTTGTTTTTGAGTTTTAAATAGTGGTTTGTTGTTTGCCAGGGCAAAACGCAGTACTTATTTCGTCAAAAATGAGTTATGACCTACAGTGAATATGGCCTTCAAGGCTATGATCTGGTTTAGGCAAACTATGCACAGACATCTGAACATCTGACAGAAAATGCGTCAAAATGTCGAATAATTCACAGAACATATTCATTGTTTGTTTGTTTTTATAATATATATTTCTATATCTATATTTGGACAAATAACTTTTTACAGTCTATTTTGAACTGAAATTTTAACCATTATACTTATGGCATTTATACAGAATGTTGTAGTAAGCATTGCTTATAACAGTACATCTATTAAATGAATGCATTTGTTTGTGACAACTGTTATTTTTTGGGGTCCATGCATGAACATGTGGTCTAGAAATCTTTCTCAAACAGAAAATAACTTATAAATAGATTTCGCATTTTCCCCATCAATGTTCAAAAGTGTCTCTGTTTACACATCACGTCTGTATGGCTTCTGCTTATGTTCTGACGGCCCCTGGAGACTGCAAGAATTCAGTCACTGGATTAACAAACACCTTCACGGAGGTCCTCTGCTGAAACGCTTTTTATAATCAGCCTAATACTCATGTCCATGCAAATAAATTTCCAGCACTTGACCTGAAAATCTCCAGCTCTGTCAACAAAAGACTATTGGACCTCATTCTGGTTGAGACTAAACAATAATGCTGTCAATCACCTTAGCTGATCTGTCAATCAAAGATAGACATAATGAGACATATAGAGCGCTTTCAGGGAGCTTCAGATTTACACAGTCAACATTTTTTAAACATATGAATGAACATATTTTCCCTTTTAAGATGCTTACTGTGAACATAATAGTTATGGTTTATATCGGCCGACTTAATTTTATGAATCACTGAAGACTACAAATTCAGCAAAAAAAAAAAAAAAAAAAATCTCATTTTAATTTTATATTGAAGAACAAACTATTTAACAGTGGCGGCTTGTGGGAAATATTCCTGTGTGCGAAGTGGTGGTGCGAAGAAAAACATCGGTTGATGGAAATGCCAAGATGCACACAAGTTTTGAAAATGCGCATGAAAAAACGCATAACTGAGTAGGATAAACTTTTATTCGATAAGAAAAGATGCTCATGCAAACACCTTTACCGAACAAATTCCAGTATGTGCATTAAAAATGTCATGTAATTTTGTGATAAGAAATCATGTGATGATAAAAATGTGTGTGAATTGACAAACCAGCAGGCTAAGCTGATAGTGTTATTATATTAATGACCTCCAGAACTGTCAAGAGCATCTGTGCTCCGCATCTCACGCCAACACGCATTCATTGCGAGTCGATATCATCTTCTGAGACGCAAGTCATTTATTACATGAAAAAAAGATTTACGCAGCTTCTTCTACTGTAGCAAAGTCCATTTATACTGTTGATATTTGGCACCAGATAATCAGGAAGTGAATATTTTGTTCTCTTTGACTCGTTGGATGGAAACGCTGCTTTATTGGCACTTCTTTCATGCGATAATCCAGTTTTGCGCATTAAGAACTTCTAAATTAAGCTGCTTCGACACAATTGTAAAAGCGCTATATAAATAAACATGAATTGAATATTGCAATAAATAAATAAAAAAACACTGCTCACTTTTTTTTCTAGATATGTATGAGCATACAGTTGAAGTCAGAATTATTACCCCCCTAAAATTATTAGCCCCCCTGTTTATTTTTGTTTTAAGGAGAGAAGTATTTTTCAACACATTTCTAATGATAATTTTTAATTTTTTAATAACTAATTTCTAATATCTGATTTATCTTTGCCATGATGACAGTAAATAATATTTGACTCGATATTTTTTCAAGACACTTCTATACAGATTAAAGAGACATTTAAAGGCGTAACTAGGTTAATTAGGCTAACTAGACAGGTTAGGGTAATTAAACAAGTTATTATATAAACAATGGTTTAATCTGTAGACTGTCTGAAAAAATATAGCTTAAAGGGGCTAATAATTTTGACCTTCGAATTGTTTTAAAAAAATTAAAAACTACTTTCATTCTAGCCAAAATAAAGACTTTCTCCAAAAGAAAAAATATTATCAGACACACTGTGAAAATTTCCTTACTCTGTTAAACCCAATTTGAGAAATATTTAAAGAAGATAAAAAAATTCAAAGGGGGGCTAATAATTCTGACTTCAACTGTTTTTAAATTTATATTTGAAGTGCTATCTAGAAGCCATTCATCACTGCTGTTTTTACCATCTGTAAATTATACAATCAGATTTTTTTTATTTTACAGATATATTTTTAAACCAACTGTTTGTTGCATACGTGGTCTACTCGTGTTAGAACCTCAAGTGATGGCAGCCTATCATACAGATCAGTATGGCCATTAAAATAAATCCAAAGCAGGCGCTGAACTGAGGAAAATATATTAAAGCTTTGGTCCAAGTATAAACACAATGGTTAATTTATCTGAGAATTACACTGAATTACAGTTTTAATCTCCGCTCTGAACTCTGAACGACAGCATATGGATGTCATAACCCTGCACACGTGGAAACTGAAGTGTAGGAATGTATTCGTTTGACAAAAAAATGGCAAGGATGCAGAAAACCTACAATGGGATCTGATGAAAGGCCTGACTGTCTCTGGTGGCCCGCAGGTCTCCTTGCCTCCACTTTGGCCTTTGTACCAATGGAAAAAGCAGAGGAAAAACATCCATCTCTTCTGGATTCAATTAAAAGTCTTTTAAAGAAAAGTTATAATAAAATATAATATATTTTCCAGCTGTCACTCTTGAAAATGAAATAGTTTACTGATGACAATGCTGATAAGTATAATGTCTGCTTCGTGCAGGGATGTAGTTTCCATTTAGCGTATTATATCTTGCAAAGGATTGATGGATGCAATGAGGAGATCTTCCTCTTAGTGGAAGGGGAAAGGAAGAGAAGTGCTCATAGTGTTTCCCACGTTCTCTGTCTGTAGACTAAAGCATGAATTATGACGAGCTACTGTAGTGCTAGGGATCATGTAAATGCATTTTTGCACATCAATCTGCTCAGGCACAAGAATGCACAGGGACTAATGGGGACCACATGTTTTTCTTAGCCTCATTTTCAGTCATTGGCGTTCACAGACAGTGTTGAAGAGTTAAAAGTGAAGTTGCCAATCACAGACTTTTTATTCTTAGCAGGAGTACTGCATGTCCCACTGTGAACTTCAATGAAGGCTTATAGAGAGAAACTCAGTGTGACCCCTGATTCACACAGACAGACTTATTCTAATCTGATCTGCTGTCTAATATCAGGCTTTCTCCTTCAGAAAAGACTGATACAAATGTGTGTCTTTTAAACAATTACACCTTTCAACATCCCTATGTATTTATATTTTCAATTATCTTATATACTGTATATACAGTCTTGCTATTTTGTATGTTTCTATAAAAGTGAATTGCTTATATCATTCATATAGGCAATTATGTAAGTTTATATACACTTGAAGTCAGAATTGGTAGCCCCCTGTTTATTTATTTATTTTTCTCAATTTCGGCTTAATGGTGAGAAGATTTTTTTTAAACAAATTTCTAAACATATTAGTTTTAATAACTGATTTATTTTATCTTTGCCATGATGACAGTACATAATATTAGACTAGATATTTTTCAAGACACTTAAATGCAGCTTAAAGTGACATTTAAAGGCCTAACCAAGTTTATTATGTTAACTAGGTAGGTTAGGGTAATTAGGCAAGTTATAGTATAACGATGGTTTGCTCTGCAGACTATTGAAAAAATATAGCTTAAAGGGGCGAATCATTTTTTCCTTAAAATGGTTTTTAAAAAATTAAAAACTGCTTTTATTCTAGCCAAAATAAAAATATAAAGAAATATAAAGACTATAATAAAAATATTATCAGACATACTGTCAAAAATTTCTTTGCGCTATTAAACATCATTTAGGAAATATTTTAAAACGAAAACAAAAACAAAGGGGGGCTAATAATTCTGACTTCAACTGTAGGTAATAATGATAAATAAATAAATGAATAAAATAATAATAATAAATCATAAAATGATCTTTATAAACATATATAAATGCTTATATGAACCATTTAGTTCACTTATATGGAAACATTCAAAATAGCAAAACTGTAAAAAAATTTCTGAAACTTTTGCATAAATATTATCCTGAATTACTTCTTTTATGAATAATCATAAAAACGACCTTGCTCCTGAATGAATTTAAATATATCAATGATTTCACCAGTAAAAGTCCAATAACACCTGTGAGAATCCTGATTATATTAAGTTTTTTTTTCTTAAATGCATTTCCCTATACACTACCACAGTCATTGATCACTTATTCAAAGTACTGGGATAAGTTCACATCTAAGGCATTCAGTCTGTTACTGAAACAAAACTCTCCAAGACACCATCTGAGAACAGCTTTAAGGAAGAGAAAAAAGAAATGAGAAAAAGAGGGCAGCAGAAAGATTAGTTTCCATTTAAAAGGCCTAACGTGGCAGACACTTTAATATTCTCTGTAATATCAGCAGGTCCTATAGTGTGGGTTTCCTCTATGTGGATTCTTTTGCCCAGATAAATAAACCTCAGTACAGTGGCTGCAAGGGGTTGTGTTCGGTGTGCAGGCCAGGCCTGCGCTGCTTTTGGATCACAATCAAGCTACAGGAGCCACACCACAGTCATACTGACAGAGAAGCACCAATCTATGAGAATGTTCGTGCATCAGCAAGACTATTACAATCTGCCAGTTTGACAGAACCCCAATGAAAAGGATTTGCATGTACTCAGGTGCACCTGAGCTGTTGCACCTGGATGCAGCTTTGTCACGATATCAACATTACAAAGTAGATACGATATATAGATTACCAATACTGAAGTATATTACACCGTGAAAAAAACCCCCCTCAGGTTCATTTTAAAATAATACATCATTAAACACTTGCCAGTGCTACAGGTCTGAGGTGAATATTGCCTAGCCTAGATCTTTGTTAAAGTCAGCATAAACCGGAAGTTGCTGAGACATTTTAATTCAGTGTGTCGATGTACTTCCAGCTGAAACAGACTATTGTGTAGGGGCTGATACTATCTTTTTGTGCATCATTCACCCATACCAAATTAAAGGTAAGATTGGTTTAGTATATTGTGCCTTAAGCAATCAAACTGATGTCAGCAGAGAAGGACCGCCACTAAAATCAAATGCAAAGTCAGACTTTGAATGAAGATAACCAAAACAAACTTCTTAGTGAAGTAACATAATTAAGCACAGATTGATTGTTCACCTAAGGCATAGCAATACTCGCTTGCAAAATAATCATTGTAAATTTTAATATCACAGACTTTAATTTAGGTCATATAATTTAATTTAATAATTAGGGCTGAAACATTAATAATTTCAGCATGGATAATGCATAATGATCATTTGCAATAGTCACATTGCAAGTATTCGCAATGTTGAGTCTGGATTATTATTCATCATTTTGCAAGTGTTTTTTGAGGCCTGCGACTGTGTGAGGGTTTCAAAAGCATTCAGGCATAAGACATTGTATCGTTTGTAACTTTGAAAAATTTATAATGATTAATTAAAAAAAAAAAAAAAAAAAAAAAAAAAAAAAAAAATATATATATATATATATATATATATATATATATATATATATATATATATATATATATAAATTGAAGACTATGCAGTATTATTTTGATTATTTAATTAATGTATATCATGGCTGACGTCTTTCAAGATAAGAAACCTTTTAAACAGATTTCAATATATTATGCACACTATCATCTACTGTATACTGGTAATCAATCAATATTTTAAAAATGTAAATACTATTGGAAAAGATTCATGGTAAAGAAATGATTAAACCCTTGTGCTTACTACATTTCATCTTCATTCCAAAAACACTGAAGCAGTGTTATCAGTATCAGCAAAAAATCCATATTCTTTTCCCAAAAATGATGCAATACTTGGCAATAGCACAACAAACAATGAAAAAATATTTATAACATGTTTTTACAAAAAAGTACATGTCAGACCACTTCATCAGCAAAATGCTGACCTGCAGCTGCAATATATTACAGTAGTGCCCTAAACCAGCCCAAAACACATGTCTGGACACTACAGTCTTGAACAGCTTGCGATCAAAATCAAAACATTTCTAAAGAAACATTTAAGCGGGTGTCAGTGGCACCATAGGGCATAACTAAATTATAACCAAAGCCCACATCAATGCCACCAAAGACAATTACCATCACTGATTTATTACCAAGGCCTTAGTTAGCCATGCAGCTGTGTACAAGGCCACATGTGACAGACATCCTCTTCTAAACATCTGCTCAGCCCTCAGTCATCCCTTCCCTCCTTCACAAATATTTACGTGAGGAGCTGCCCCGATGCTAATGAGCCTCAGTGATGCCCAGTGGCGAGGATTATGGGCCAGCAGATTGGCTTTTAATAAACTCCACATGCACCTTTTCAAACTTTTTGCTTTGATGCATCCCTGCTTTGAGCTCTTACTGTATGTGCTGCACCCCAGGGACTGATATACATTCGGTTACACTCACAGATCATGAGCAAAATGACCAGACATTGCTCATTTCGTGCTGAGTCTCCAACTGTGAGCTCTGTGGTCTGGAAAGCTCATTGAAGGGCTGCTGAGAGATGGCTAGCAGGAGATGAGCCCGGTGGCCTGCGACTGCTTTTGTGGCCAAAGTAAACTAACCGTGAGGCACGTGGCATCGGCAGACGAATTTAGACCACAGCCAGGCATCACTCATTAGCTCTGGAGCTCCTCACCCACGCAAAATAACCATATTCTATAATTATAGGTTCCAAAGTAAAACTCCAGGTATTGTAGAAGCAGCTCAAAATTTCATCTTTGACCTGCTATGTTTAAAAAAAAAAAACATTTGCTCCATCAACCACCCTTCTCCCCCGGCCACTGTTCACTTTCACTTTCTTTCGCGACTCCCCAACCCTCTTCACTTTCGTTCGTGACAACCCACTCTTCACTTTTGTTCTTCATCCTCGAAACCTCCTGCCATCCAACGCCCCCTACCCCTCTGCTCTCCACTTTTATGCATGACACTTCTCCATCCTCGGGTAACATGCCGAATCCGTACCACGATCTGTTCCGGGACATCGCAATTCACAAATTCAGCAATGATCAGGGGTTGCCACAGCGGAATAAACTTACCCAGCATATGTTTTACGCAGTAAAACCCAGTACTGGGAAACACCCATACACACATTGTCTTTGAACTGTGGGGGAAACCGAAGCACTCAGAGGAAACCCACACAAACGTGGGGAGAACATACAAACTCCACACAGAAATGCCAACTGACCTAGCCAGGAATCGAATCAGCGACCTTCTTGCTAACCACTGAGCCACCGTGTTGCCTTATGACATAATACGATGATTAGAGTGATGAAGCCAATTATGATCTGGGGGTGTAAGGAGGCCATAATAGACATTGGGCCAGTCCGCGAATTTGGCCAGGATGCCAGGGTTAAACCCTTACTCTATTTCGAAATACATACTGGGATTTTTAACAACCACAGAGAGTCAGGACCTCGGTTGAACATCTCATCCGAAAGAGAGCACTCACAGAACACTATAGTGAGTCCCCTTCAATATACTGGGGCATAAGGACCAACACAAACCGCAGGTTGAGCACCCCCTGCTCGTCTCACTAACACTACTTCCGGCAGCAACCAAGATTTCCCATGTGGTCTCCCATCCCGGTACTAACCAGGCACACAGCCCTGCTTAGCTTCAGTGGGTGACTATGTGAGAGTTGCAGAGAGCTAGCTGCCGGCTAATGACTGCACATTACTTGCATTGAGTGAGTATGTATATCAATGCATGAAACCATGTCTGAAATTATACACGTTCAAACTATCGTTGAAACTATAGGTAATAAAAACAGCCACAAAAAGGAAAGAAATGTATTTGATCAGTAATTTCAAATTCCAGTCACATACAGCAGCGAAGTGATGCAAGTTTAAGTGATATAAACAGAGACAGCCTGAAAGGAGTACAACAGACAGTAATATTATGGCATTGTACTTGTGCTTTGTTTACATTGCTGGACTTGATTAAAATTGGCCTGGGTCACAGATGGGTTTCTGGCATATAGTCAAGATGAGTAACAAATAAACAAAATAAAGAAACATGTTTGCACATACTGGCACACACGCAATCAGCAACTACACATGCAGTTCCTCTTCCTTTAGTAGATCAAAATGATATATTGATATTCTCACTTATCGCCTTTATCGTTTTGCAGACTGACATGGACAGACTGACAAAATAAAGTAAGTTCTAAAACTTGATAGGACTGGACAGGAATGCAAATTCAATTTAAATTTCCTGAGGGTCCCTTGACAGCCCTGAGCTCTTTAAATATACTGTCAAGAGTGTCGTTTCACAAGTGAGCTCTAATCTGGCTGCTCACCACATCTTTCCCAGACACAGGAAACTATGAACTCCCAATATATTTCTGATAACATCTCCTTCCATTTCAAAGTATGCAAGCGCTAGGATGGAAATTGGAGCAAGGGTAAACTCCAAGCGTTCCACAGCCAATTCAGCATCCCCATCTATAACAGGAGGTCAGTGTAACAGCGATTGACATCGGAAAAAAAGACATGGGAGATGCAGAACACTGGGAAACAATACATTGCACTTCTTCAGCTCTCAGCTCGCAGGGTATCTCATTCAGTTTTGTAGCATCAGCGCTTTTCCTAAATGACTTCAACAGAAAACACACTCACCTGGCATCACGCTCCAGAAAACCCAGAGGAGGTGGATCCAGTTGTACTCCATGTGTGTGTTGGAGAGGGAGAACGTAAGAAAATGTGTGTGTTGGTGTATGTGTGTGTGTGCAGAAGGATGAAATATCCTGACAGTGCGCTCTCCTGTACACCCGGCTCTGATTGACTCTACTGCTCCTAAAAACACTCTATATCTGAAGCAGGGAGGAGGGGACTGTGGCCGAACCAAAAGGAGGTGCTCATTCAGCCAGCAGACAGATCTTTTCTCTTTTTCTTTCTCTCTCTTTTACTTCCTCCCTCTGTGTGTCTGTCCATCTACGTTGGAGTTTGGGTCACTTTCTTATGAGCTCATTGCTAAATGCTTTGAATATGGAAATTCAGGTTTTAGGGATCACTGTATATCACCTCTATGGCAAAACCTGATCTTCCGTAATTTTGTAATTCGCTTAACATGCATTTTAGGCTGCATACTTTCGGAGAAGATGCCCTCCAAGTTGACTGATGCCGAGATTTGTGGTTAACATACTGTAGCTGCAAGTTACCATATAAAGCCCACTGACAAACTCACAGCAGAACCTCAGACACCATCCAAACCACGCTACCCAAGCATATAATTACAGATTATATAATGACTAATACTGACGTTCTGGCTGCTCTAATAGTGAAACATGGCCCACCTCCATTTCAACTTGACCTTGAAAATATCAAAACCGCTGTTGCTTAGTTTTTGGTCAAAATGAACATGCAGTGTAAATGTAATCTTACAATTAAACTACCAAACACATGCATAATATCCTGTTTATATACTTCACAAGACAACTGTCAGACTTAAAAGCAAATTTCACCACAAAATGTTTATTTACTCACCCTCAAGTGTTTCCAAATCTTTATGGAGCTCATTTTTTTGTGTTGAACAAAGAAGATATATTTAAAAATACATACAGTATATTCATTCATTCATTTTCCTTAAGCTTAGTCTCTATTTTATAAGTTGTGACAGAGGAATGAACCAGCAACTATTCCAGCATGTGTTTTACGCAGCGAATGCCCTTCTAGCTGCAACCCAGTACTGCGAAACAGCCATACACTCTCATTCACACACTCATATGGCCAATTTAGTTTATTCAATTCATCTATATCACATGTCTTTAAATTGTGGGGGAAACCGGAGCACCGGGGGAAACACGCACCAACACAGGGTAAACATGCAAACACCACACAGAAATGCTATCTGGCCCAGCTGGGACTCAACCCAGTGACCTTCTTGCTGTGAGGCAACAGTGCTAACCACTGAGCCACCATGCCACAAGACATATATTATACATGATAAATTAAAGAAACCTGCAACCATGTGTAACCACCCATAGTATGAAAAACAAATACGATAGGAGTCAATGGTTGCAGGTTTCCATTTATCAAAATCACTTCTTTTTTGTGTTCAACAGAAAAAAGAAACTCAAACTGGTTTGTTATATGTGAAGGGTGAGTAAACGATGACAGATATTTCAATTTTAGGTGAACTATCCCTTTAAAGGCTGTACACAGTGGAATGAACCACCAACTTATCCAGCATATGTTTTACGCAGATTATGTCCTTTCATCTGCAACCCATCAATGGTAAACATCCATGCACACTCATTCACACACATGCACTAGGGACAATTTAGCCTTTTCAATTCACCTATACCACATGTCTTTGGACTTGTGGGGTAAACTGGAGCATGCAAATACGGGGAGAACATGCAATCTCCAGACAGAAATGCCAACTGACCCAGCCCAGGCTCGAACCAGTGACCTTCTTACTGTGAGGCGATTGTGCTAAACATTGCGCTACCGTGACGCCCAGGTCAATTTCATTAATGAATTTTATAGTAGTTAAAGCACATTATTTAATTATTGTGCATTGTTAATATCGTCATCACTATAGTTATAGCAACCATCTTTGGTGTAAACATGGATTTTATTTCAGAAAACTATCACGTTCAGGGCTCGCGGTTTTACATTTTTGGTGCGTTAATCTACATAGTTAATATTATCATTCAAAAGGTCATCATTAGCACTCATTAAGGGTGTAGTAGGTGATATGCCAAAATACTAACCGGCTAGCATGATATCTTTAAAACAAAGTCCCTCCCCTGCTGTCCAAAGCCATGCTTTTGCATGCACACAAACGTGCGCACCTTAAAGATGACAGCAGACAACCTATTAGTTAATGTCATTCGCCAGCTAGAAATGTAGTTAGTGGTTGGCTGGCGGCGTGCAAAAATTACACTTATTACTAAGCCATACTTGCGTGCTATTTCATATCAAATATTCAAAGTAGCATGATAAAAATTATAGGGTGTCATTGTTCAAAAATGAACCAAAGCAGGCTCGGAGGAATAGCTCTATTAACTGATGCTTTGTTGTTAAACTAAATAATAATCTGTCGATGCTGTAAAAGGTCCCTTATGAAACTGAAAATAGTCACATCAACGTTTTGCCGGAGGATTTAAGTTGGTGAACAACACTTCTGTGCATATAACTCACTCGTAAAACAGCACAATCCACATCAGCTTTGCGTGACTAAATAATTTTAAAACAGAACATTACCTGTCAGGAAATACTTCAGCCATAGTGTCATCCTTCCTCCAATGTGCAAAAGTCAATCACATTATGTCATTAATTAGACGACCACTTAATAATTAAAAACTCGTTTTTACTATACTGTAATTAACCACAGATATTTAAATATTTCCTTTACCTTTAAAAGCATTATCTCCATTGTATAGGAAAATAATATTCAATTATCATCATTCACTTATTCATGTCTGGAATTCCGACTGTCCAAAACAATAAAAATACATTTTTATCTCATTATTTGTACCATTATATACTCAAAATCCATGATACCCAATATTATAGATAAACAATAAAACATTAAAGAAGCACATTAAAGAACTCACGACCTTCTGACTGCCAGAAAACTAATCCACCAAATTGTGGAGGAAGATCTGAGTTGAAAAATCAATGTTACATACTATTGAACACACGATTAATAAAGAATATATAAATTCTTAATAGTATGAGGATGTTGCAGTTTCTACTATGTATGTGCCTTAAGTTTGAAACCAAAGAGACCAAACATCTGATCAACACTGAGCTGATTTTGCTTAAAACAAAAATGACCAAAGTAAAGAGCGCTGCATTCATTAAGAGTACTTAAAAAGTCATCTGTCTTTCCTTTCATCAAATATTTCCATCAAAGCAGAGCAATTCACTCATTTTGGAAACAAGGCAGCTGGGAGTTCTTTTAAATTCTCCAAAAAACAGCATGGTCAAATCAATGAGCTTAGAAGTTATTCCAATAGACAGACACAGGCATGTACAAGGAGACAGAATGAGAGAGGTGTTTAAGCCAGTCACACAGAGATAAAATAGAAATATTAAGTACACCTGACCTCTGTATGAACACATCAACTCATCTATCAGTTGATGTAGTCCAGATTAAAACAGCGACGTGTTTACACCCATTAACATCTTTGTTTGATGACCTGTCCATGAAGACTTAAATACATGAAATTGTAATAATTTACGATTTCATTCAACATTCAGACGATAAATCAATAATCAACTCAGTTGCATTTTTTTCTGAAAAATTTGGTGTCTGAGTCATGAATAACAAAATTAAACTATTTATTTGATAGCTTTGAAATGGTTTTATGTGCCCCAGTTGTTACTTAAAAGTTTATAATTTAGTTTTACAGGACTGTAGACTACTTACAGTAGATTTAAAAGCATCCAAGGTATAAATAAATAAATAAATTAATTAATTAATTTCCCATAATCTAATTTCCCAAAGTGTATCAAACTATTTGTTCATTTTTTCAAAACCCCTTCTTTTCCAAGTGCCTGCTCTGCTCTGATTGGTCAGATGGTCCAGTTTGTTGTGGACCAAGTCAAAGTCTAATGGTGAAGCACTGGAAAAATCTGTTAATAAACCCAACCCCAAACTGTACGTCCCCTTATCACCATAACAAAATGTCCACCAGGGTCAGAAATTAATGATGGCTTGTGTAAAATATGCCGCCAAAATTAACAAAAATGCAATTTCAATTCGAGATCAGGGGGAGCATTGCATGCATCTACTACAACTGTCCTGTATATTGTAAACGGTATTGTAACATTGAATGAATTGCAGGGAAAAACATTTTGTCTCAAGAAATACATGTTGCTTCTCTTTATTAACATGAACCAACTGAAATAATTGAGGCAAAACAAAAACCATAGAAACTTTATCAGATAAGCAAAAGATTTTTCTAGCTCTTCTTCCAGACTTCTGTACTCTATAGAAGTGGATACAAACAAGCGGATGAGGATTAAAATAGTGGGTAAACGGAGCAGAGACTATTTTGTTACACAACACAAGGCAGCTTTTACCAGTATTGTGAGGTTGGAACTCATAGCTCAAGAATCCCCACTGTCAGTTTGCAAAATGTCAACAGCCCAAACAAATGATAAATCGGAGAGAAACCTGCAATTAAAACTAAAGTCTGATTCTTTCTCTCAAAAGAGGAGAGGGGCCTGAGAGGGAGCTGGGCTGCTTCAACTCACTGTTTCCACATGGAAGGAAAATGCTTTCGTTTACATTGCTGAGCTACTGACCAAAATTAAAAGTCAGAAAAGAACGAGTTGCAGAAAGCAGTTGTGAGAAGTTGTTTTTGCCGGAAATCGTACCTTCCTTTTTTTCCACCTACATGTGGGGGTCCAACACCCCTTGTTGAGAAGAGGATTGAAATCAATACATATCCTTTGCAGAAGCAACACTTACCTCATGACCCCAAACCCTCTAACAGCAGTAGCAACTGCAAACAATTATCCCAATAAACTTAACTTTACCTGCTGCATGTTGTAAGACTGACTCATTACAGAAACACAAGCAATATCCATTGCTGAACTCCTGCTTACAATGAAAATATCATTTTCAATGATTTCATCAGTCCTTCCCTGTCTTCATTATGGTTGCAACTGATAGAAAAATAATGGACTTGTACTCTTGCAATCTAATAGCAATAATAAAATGCGTAATGCTCTTCAGTAACAGCTTTAATCACAATGGGAAATCAAAGAGATTAAATGGAAATTTGGTGCATCGCTTCTCATAGTCTTTATTTTGAAC